TACGATTGGAGAAAGGCAGGTCAAAGCCCCATGGGGACAAGTCAAATTGCCATCTCTATGTTATATTTGAATGAAGCATATTCTAATTAAAGAATTTTGTATCCAAGGTCTTGAGAAAGTTCAATAAAGCAATAACAAATGAAAGAGAAAAAGATGCCTCTTCCCCTTTGGTTTAGGTTTCTTGTTTGTATTAGTAAGCTACATGTTCTTTGATCCAAATCTTTTGGTTCTTGGCCTTTCATGTTTTGTATTCTGGGCATGAATGTTCTAGTTAACTTAATATTTATCGTCCATCTTTGCTTGTCTATTTCCTCTTAAATTTATCAATTTATGAAATTAATTACTTGAAAAAGGTTAAAGGTGGAGGCAAGGCAATTGGGTGCCCAAGAGGTGAGGTGTAAGTCTCTCTCTCTCTCTCTCTCTCTCTCTCTCTCTCTCTCTCTATATATATATATATATATATATATGTACATATGTATATTTATAGTCACATAGTTTATGTCATTTTATAGTTAACTTACATTTTTCTTTTTATTATATAAAGGGCAGCCTAGTGCACAGGGTTCTTATTCGTGCAAATACAGAGAGGCTATTTTCAAGAATTGAATCTTGGTCACCCAGGTCACAATGGGGCAACCCAACCATTGTGCCAAGGCCCATGGTTTTCTTACATTGTTATTTATCTTTAATTTTTTGTGTTTGTATAATTTTGTTCTATTTTCTAGAAATTTCTGTTATTTTTCTATAATTTTAGTTTTTTTGTATGTTTTTTAATATTTTCTGTAATTTTTGTTGTTTTCTTTGCATCTTTATAATTTCTATACTTTATGTATTCTTTCTAAAATTTTCATTGTTTTTCCATTTTCTACATTTTTTAATAATTTTTGCTGTATTTTTTTGTCAATTTTCGTGCATTTTATTTATTTTTCAACAATTTCTGAATTTCTTGTGTTTTAATGACTTTAAAATTTATGGGTTGGGCCAAGGCAGGTTTGGGTTCGGGACAAGGCAAATTTGGGTTAACCCATTTATTTTTCTTCAAATGGGTCATTAACGAGCCAAGTAGGTCGAATGGGTTGGGTTGAAGCTCAATCCAAACCCAACCATTTTCCACCCCTATTTATGGCCATTAAAAATAGAAAATCCAGGTCTTGGGCTTTTGGATGAAAGAAACCAATACCAATTTCTTATATAGGTTCAGTTGGTTCATATGAAATAGAGCAAGGTTTTACTTTCGTCCAAACGTGATGGCAACAATATGGAGTTGGCTATATGAATCTGGTTTCATCATTCCATTCTATTTATTGTCATATCCATTGGTGTTCAAATCATTTCCTACTATTTCGACCCATGTCCTTTTCGGCATAGCTGCCAAGGTGATGCCTAAGCAGCAAGGCGCCCTTGGAGTTTTTACTTCCTACTATAAAATGCTTTTTCATTCATTTTTTTTTGAGATTATAATTATAAAATATATATTATTAAATTAAAATAATCATTTTGTGTGTTTATATACTAATTTCTTTTTATTATTTTCTTATTTGTTAGGGCTTAATCAACACAAACATTGCTAAATGCTGTATTGAACCCTCAAAGACTTAAAAACTTGAACCAATAATAAGTAAGGAAAGACTTAAAATTTTATCTAATCAGCCCCTTCCATATATAATATATTCTTCTTCTTCAACTACTATTACCAATACTTTTATTTTCTTCTTTTCCTATATCAAAAATAAGGGTTCAACCCCTATATTTTTTGAATTTTATTTTTCTTCTTCCTTTTCTTCTCATGAATATGTTGATTTTCTATACTTTAATATGAAATTTATACTTTTTTTATGAAAATCATGAATAATTATTAAAGAAATATGATTATGGTACCTAGGGAACTACCCTAGGATCTATGTTTTTAACACAAAATCTATCACCTAGGCACCCTGTTGGAAGGTTAAGATCCATCATATGGATAGCTGAAGCATGCTAGATGGTTAGGCGAAAATTCAAAAAATTTCTTTAACCTTCCGAGAATTGTATTATTAGATTTAGAAAAACTGCATTTTTCTATGGTCGATCTTGCACCAAAATTGGACCATATTTGAAACCAAACAAGAGGGAGATGTATACCTTATTCGGATTCACAAATATAGCTCCCAAAATGGTAGTTCATGCCCAAATTAAATCTTAAAACCAGCTTCTACTAAAAATGGTGCGGCTTGAAGTTGTAGCCCATTCAACAAAACTGCAACCCAACACCTTGGATTGAACTAGGGAGGTGAGCACGATTTTTCTCTATATTTTTCTTGCAAAATTAGAGAGAGAACTGTTCAAGATCAGTCTCCAATACTGAGGTCAAACTAGGGTTTCTTGGGCAGCAAGAAGAGAAGAGAGAGAGAGTTGAAAGCAGAGTTAGTTGGAGAAATTCAATATCCTCTTCTTTTATCCTTAAAGAGCACCTCTCCTAATCAAATTAGGAGGTTTTATCCAAATCTTTATTTGGATCTGGACTCTTATCCTCTTAAGAGAATGGGTGTTCCATACCCATATCCAAACCATATTCGCCCATGTCATATGACAACTTAAGCAGTCATGTGACATCTTAATTAATCATATTAATCATGGGCTTTAGGTTCATTAACTATATGACTCACGACCCAAGAGTGTTGCTAGCCTATTTAGGTTTGATTTGTATGGCGTGGGACTCCAACAATGACCTCACATAAACCCACATAGGTTCAGCCCAGCCTCTATGGAAAGGCTTGGCCTAATTCACTGTTGAATTCAATGAACCCTTGAGAACATCACCATGGGCTTTAAATGGCCAATATTTTATAGTTAAATGATCATTGAGTCCAGCCATCCTATGAAGACCCAAGGATAAGGGACTTAAGTAAGATATAGTTCACCAGGTAATCAACAATTAATGGTCTCTTACACTTAACCCCTCAGCCCTTTCGTTTCCATCAGAGAAAGTGTAATCTCGATCATTCACTTTGTCCGACAAAGGGGCCAATCCTATTACTATGACCACTCACTAAAGTGAATTCTCAAACTACCCCAACAAACCCAGGTTTTGGCCCATAATGAATCTCACTGATTGACATATCAAAGACAGCCTAATCCGACACCCAGTGCAGTATCATAATCAAGTCTAGAGGTTATGTGTAACTTTCCAATGTTGCCCATCAATCTTCAAGGTCTAGGGCATAACTGAAAAATGGTCCAGATTCAATGCTTCAACCAAAGACACCCTACATGTGGTTTGGGTCTAACCCTGGTAGCTGAGACAAGCTGCCCCAACTTCTTTGTTAGCACATTAGTGTCAGCCTTGGTAGGATAAACTCCCCAAGTCTATCCAACGGTTGAAAACATTCTAAAGTAACACGAGTCTCATAAGTGTCCAGTTTAAAGGGTAAGTTAACAAAAACATACCAATAACAATACGAAACAATAATGTACTTTTGTTCATTTACAATAAATGTATTTGTACATCAATCTGATTTGATCTAAGGGCATACACTGTCTAACATGCCCCCCAGTCACGTAACTTTACCTTGGCACATTGAAAACTATGCTTTTTGGCCGCCTAATCTTTTAGTCCCTTTCAACTTGCAACAGATAACTTCGTATGGGTGCGGTAGATGATTTTCCATGCACATGACTGAACTGTCATAATCTGGTTTCTCTTATATTATCACCTATTGGAGCCTCTTCTACGTTCCTTTGAATGGCTTCATTACTGACTATCCTTTCTCATTTTTCCAATCGTCCATTTAAATATATGCATTTTTTCCATACTTACTTTTTTGTGCATGTTTCTTGACTGCCCAACTCTTTGATCCATATAGCATAGCTCACCTTACAATTGTCTTATAAAACTTTCATTTTAAAGAAAGTTGAAAGAATTTTTTTTTTTAAATTAAAGCATATGCAATGACTATAAATGAGATCGTTTGAACCTTAGGGCTTAGTCTTTGTATAGAAATTAGAGCAACTTGAAAGACTTTGCTCTATAATATATGAAATCTGAGGTCATTGTCCATTTGGGGGAGGATGTAAGGTAGGATTATGCCTTCTCTTCCGACTCAGTTTGGAAGGAGTACAAATACAAATATGTATAATATAGATACATACAAAATAATACAAAATAAAAGGTTTTGCACTCTACAAATTGTATTTGTACTCCTTCCAAACTGAAAATTTTTGCATTCAAAGTTTGTCAATGTAAGAAAGGCAAATTACAGTATTGGAATTCATGTTTGTATTCATCACAACTAAATGCGTTGGGTAAGAATACAAAATTTATCAGTGGGAAATTAAAGGAAATTCGCATTTCCATTAACCATGCATATTGCATTTGCATTGAGCATATTTTCATTTGAATTTTTACCAAATTCAGCAGGCCGGGTTCCAATAAGATGCTATACCCTGAGGTAAAACCCTAGTTGTTTTTTTGTAGGCAACCTAAACAAGGTCCTTCCACAATATTGAGATCATTAATCTCTATTGTTTACCTTTTTCTCATAAATGATATCTACTTCTATCTTGAGTAAGGAAATGTAGTATTTCCGGTTGATGCTTATGGAGGATAGGTTAGTAGTTTTTGTTTTTATCTCTTTCATCCGTGTGATTCATTATCTCCTTTTCCTAACCTGTTTCTAGTGGAATGCATGTTTTGTGTGTATCATTGTTTTCATTCAACAAGAAAACCATTAGATAGATATTAGCCCTTGCAGTTATATCATGGTTGTGGGATGTTGCTATCATGTTTACTTAAATTACCTTGAAAAAAATAGGAATCTATGTCTAAAGATTATAGAGAAGAGAAGAAAAGATTCTACTTATCGTGATAAAGTAGAATATGTAGAATATCTGTGTCTAAAGATGATCTAAATTTTCTTGTTTTCGTTTTATACCATCTAGGGTAATTCAAAAAAAAAAAAAAGAAAGAAAAGATCTGTATGCGATAAACATATTTACTTGTGTTCTAATCGGATATTTTTCAGGACTTTTGGAAGTTGACAATTATGTCATTTTCGTCAGCAACACTGGCTGGATCACTCTACACATTACATGCTTATCGCAGAAGCACCTCTTGCACTATGAAAAACTGTTTTTGTTAATACATTGGTTGTTAAGGGCATCATAACTTATACACAAAGGTTGTGGTAAAATCTCCATTTTCCATGACATTACAGTACTGTTTACATACTTGTGGAGCAACCATTAGTTTTATAGTAAAAAGCAGGAAACAAAACAACTGGAATTTGTATTTCCGACCTGAGAATGTTATGGAAGTAGATAATTTAGGTTATTATTTATCCCATACGCCATAAACAACATTGCCATATAGGCTCAGTTTGGAAGGAGTACAAATACATACAAAATGATATAAAATATAAGGTTTTGCACTCTACATATTTGTATTTGTACTCCTTCCAAATTGAGCCATAACTACAACCATGATTTAGTGACCTAATTGTTGACTTTTTATCACTAAACCCAAAATACAAAATGAAGTGGCTCTACACTAATTGCTTACTGTTCCAGTATTTCTTCTGGTTATGAGGAACCACAGGGCTTGGACTTGAGGTCAAGGAGCAAGACTATGTCATTGAGATTGTTAATGGCAACTTAAGAGTCACTTCATATAATAATGGACCCAAAGTTCAATGCCTTGGTGAACTATACAGCCTGATGGATTGCCTTGATCTCCACTGAAATATTAGTGTCATGGCCCTAATAGCTTGAAAACCCAAAAATGAACTCCCCTTCTATCTCATCTAAACACTCCTCCTGCACTAGGGGTCGGCTTCTCTCTTGAAGCTCTGTCTACATTTACCTTAACAACTCCGGTTGGTATGGTGGTCTCCATACATGAATAGTTTGCATCTTCTCCTGTGGTGAAGAATAAAGTCTAGTCCGAGTAGAGTGGCTTCTAATAAGGGGGAACCTCTAAGATAGAGGAAAAGTATGCCCATACCTTCTCAGATAGATATTACACCACGTAACAAAATATGATATCAGTGTTCTCTTCTTGTTTAGAAAAACAACAATTGCAAGCACTGGCAAGATAGATTCCTAGGCTTTAAGCACATGTGTGACGGAATATCACCTTGCATGCAATAAGGAAATACTCTTTGGAATCTTAGGGTTCCATATGAAGGAGTGCCATGAAACATGGGCGTTGAGCATCCTAGTTGACTCCCAAGCCGAGCCACATGAGAAGCCCGACTGGCTAGGCTTCCAAATCCACCTATCCACAATAATGGATCTAGAGAGAAATATGGGACGCTTCAATCTGATTAATGATGTCAATTGTTGGTTAGGTTAGAAACCAGATTTAAAATGGTCGAACCAAATCTGGTGGTTGGTCAAATTATAGAAAAAAAAAAAAACAAAATTTTAACCCAACTCGGGAACTGATTTCTCAGTAATTTAAAATCTAATTTCCGAATTGATATTGCACTGAAACGGACAAGATTTGAAACCCTAATTAAATGTTGGTCATACCTGATATAGAGTCCAAAAAAGCAGTGCCCAAAATGGTAGTTCATGTCCAATACTAGACTTGGATCGGCCACTTGCTAAAGATGGTGCAACAGTACATGTAAAGTCAATTCAACAATACAATTTTAACAAAATTCAAACCCCAAACTCCTTGGATCAACGCAGCTTGTGAGCCTTGATGTGATTGTGTAAAAATTCAACTAGGAACTGAAGAGAATCAGCCCCTACAGTAACTGGTTCAGAATAAGGTTATGGGTGCAAGGGAAGAGAGAAATTAAGAGTGTAAGAGAGTGAAGAGAAATTGGATGGTTTTCCTGCTCCCTCTCATTCTTTATATAGAACACTCTCTTAATCTTATTAGGAGCTGATCCAAATTAGATTTGGATTAAGACTCGTCCATGTTTAGATAAGACTTATCTTCTTTAAAAGAAATGGGTGCTTCATACCAATATACATGCCCATAATCAACCTATGTCTCATAACATGGGTTGTCATGAGATCACTTAATTTCGTTATAGTGTAATCACTTAATTAATCATTTCCTTCAATGGTTCATGTCCCAAGGCATTGCATGGCCACTTTAGGCCTGAATATTATGTGGTGTGGAACCCATAAAGGTCTCACATGAGTCAACAATGATTTGACCCAACCTTTGGAAAGGAGCAAGTTGAATTCACTACCTAAGGACAGCAAACCCCTAACCCAATCAGTTTGGGCTGAATTTGCACCCAACATTTAAACATAAATAATCATTGGATTTAGCCACCCTATGAAGACCAAAGGTGGCTTCTCCCCAAAAGGATGTGGTTAAAGTGCATTTCTCATCATACTACACACCATATCCATTAGCATTCTATTTCTTCTTTCAAAAACACCATTTTGTGAAGTGTACGGGCTATGGGGGTTTTCCTTAAATAATCTCATACTCTTGGGGAAAAGCATCAAAAATCTCAAACTCACCACCTCTTTCAAACTTCACAATTTTGATTCTTCTATCAAATTGATTTTCCACCTCAGCCATGTACATCTTGAATGTTTGTAAGGCATTTGATTTATTCTCAATCAGATATAGATAACCAAATTTAGAATAATCATTAATAAATGTAATAAAGTATATATGTCCATTCGAGCAAGAACTTTAAGAGGGCCACAAATATCAGTGTGAATAATTTAGAGGAACTTAGTACACCTAGTACCCTTGGGAAATGGTTTTCTAGTCATTTTATCCTTACGGCAATCTATACAATCACTAAGATTGTCAAAATTTACGTCTAATGAATATGAGCAATTACTCAAAAGGTAGTGAAAGGAAAGCATAACAAACCCGGCAAATTAATGAGATGTTTGGAACCGTTTTTCAAAGAAAAAATGGTGCCACATTGGATCCATATAGGCGTTTCAACAAACGCCCATATATATGAAAATTTGGTTCAGGCGTTTATTGAAAAATCGGGACCCCACCGATGCATGAAACGCCTGTTTCCCCCAATGGTCGACTGATGTATATCCTATTTGGTGCTTACCTATCAGCACATACATGAAAAACAGTGATAAAAATCACCTTACAAATAGCATAGTGTTGCTCACTGCCTACGTGGCAGAAACATTTTTTTGTGAAAAACGGATCTTGGAAACATGGGCATTTTTTCTTGAAAATCAGTCCCAAAAAGCACCCACACTTCCAAATGCCATCTAAAAGTGTCTCACACTATTAACATGGATGAATGAAAGAAAACCAGGAAGTTTGATGGCAGATGGACCTTGTGCCTTTTCGCCAAATTTCTAGGGGATCCTAAGCCTATCAAAGCCAAAACTAAGAAAGCCAGTGACCGGAGGATTGGAAGTAAAACTAATGTGCAAACTATAGGGAACGGATTCTACCATCTTACTTTCACTGTTTCACATCGAAATCTGATTATAAGAAAGTGTTAAAGGATAGGCCATGGCTAATCAATGGAAAATACTTTGTGATTATTCCAAAGAAGATTGGGTTTAATGCAATTAAGGCAAAGCTTGATTTTGCCGATATCTAGATCAGACTCTCGAGCTTTCTGCTGGAGTTGTGGTCACAAGATGACCTGGAATTCATCCTACAAGATGTAGGATCTGTGTTAAACCTTGATGGCGATACATTAAACATGCATCGAACAAACTACCCCAGGGTTAGTGTCCACGTTAGTCTCAACAAGGATTGCTTACAATCCCAATTGCGTACAGACGCTACAGATTTATTTAAATGTTTTATTTTAAAAATTTAAAGAAAAATGATATGTAAAATAATTTTTCCACGTAGCATACCATGTGGTCACCCTCCTCGAAGTTGCGTCTAATTAATAAATGTAAATACGAATGTATCAATTATAAATCTTACCAACAAATTAACAGGCATTCATCATCCTTCATTCCCTGACAATCTCTTTTATAACTGTTTTAATCAGCAACCAACTCCATGGCAACCCTTGCGACTGTCCGTCACATCTCTAGGTGCGCCATCAAACCTCTATGCTTTCCAAACGAATCAATAAAGCACATTTACCACTTAAACCCATGGGATCTCTCTCTGCTATCCACTCACTACATCCAAACTGGTCTTCTTTTCTCTATACCTCCCTCTTCTATCAACCAAGAAGACAAGTATTGCATCCCCACTATTATTGACCAGCTCAAGGAATCCCTTTCTCGCACCCTTGTTCACTTCTTTCCCCTTACCGGCCGCTTCATCACACAGAAAAGCAACAACCCACATTCTTACTCAATTTCTGTAGACTGCAGAGACGCTCCAGGGGTTGAATTCATCCATGCTGTAGCAGATCTGAAGATAGTCGATGTCCTCTCTCCAATTGACGTGCCCCCTATCGTCCATTCCTTCTTTGCCCTCAATGGAGCTGTCAACCACGACGGCCACACCATTGGTGATGGCACGTCATTGGGCAAGACTCAACTGACGGAGTTACTAGATGGGATCTTCCTGGGTTGCTCCTTCAACCACGTCATTGGTGATGGGACTTCTTTCTGGCATTTCATCAATACTTGGTCTGAAGCGTGTAGAAAAGAAATAAAAGATAAAGGTATCTCACGCCCACCAATACTTCAGCGTTGGTTTCCCATTGTCGATGGTCCGATTGTAAACTGAGGGTGCGCAATCCGGCCGGTTTTAGTTATCAACGACCTTGTCTCTGAACTGAGCAGTAGGGAACCTAAAAAGGAGAAGATGAGGAAGCTCCGGGGGAACCCGGTGTAAAGGCTCCGAAGCTCAAGTTAGAATCCTTCAAAGGCGAGATAAAACCAGATAGCGCAAAGTTTGCATACCATGTTCTTGGGGGATAGAGAGCCTTTTATAACCACCTCGCACACTCACTCCTAGACTCCTGTCAGGTCGGGTATGATTATTTCTGTGCTTCTGCCAGTTCGGGTGTCATCACCTCTGCTGGGGCAGAACTGCCATTGCTCCTTTTTGTCGGAGCCGTCTCTGTAACTGGAGATAGCGGTGGCAGGTGACGGTGACAGGTAGCCATTGAAACGTGGCTATCAAGCATCAGATCCCAAGTCAGTCAGGTGCGCCGCCCGTGGAAACGGACTCCTTCGGTGTCAGGTACGGTGTGGTTTGTCTAGTTCGGCGTTCTGGAGGCGAAGTGCTGGAGCGAC